ATTGTGGAGAGGCTATATCAGCCAGAACAGATGGAAATTAATGATTAAGCTTTATCACAACATTTTTGTAGTCTGTTACCTTTCCTTTTGCCTCTATTTTAAAATGGATATTCAATGTGCTGAGTATTTTTTTAAACTCTCAGGGAGAAGATCTTCAAAACAAAATCTGAGCCAGATTTTCAACAGCCTCAGCTAAGAAAAAGGTGTTGGATTTTCAAGATCTTTGATGAACAATCTGGCCATCAGAGTTGCCTCAGTGATCTGCTGGATGCTGGGCTCCACAAGTGTCTCTGTTGTTCCCTCCTCTACCTTTTAAAACATTTTACCCAAAAATAGTTCATTGTTTGTCCTTCAAGGAGCTATCATCATACTGATTAAGAAGTCAGAGGATTTCCAGCCCATATTCAATTAAATCCTTCCCCAAAACCAGAAAACTTTTAGACCTCTACCCAGACTGTTATTTCTCCAAACACGTTCCTCAATAGTTTCACTTCTGAAATATGGTAATCCTGCAATTCAGATTTTAGAATCCTACATTCAAGCGTTTCACTCCTTTGTTACAGAGGATTTTGCATCATATAAGCCTTAAAAAAAAAGTAACATAACATTAGACTCCAAAGCAGTCCTCCATGTGATATCTCAACCCCCTCAAAGGTGGATGTGGTACAGTGATCAGTGATCGTGTTTGGAGCTACAGTTCCACTTTGGAGAGAGACAAAGAGGGCAGAAAACTTTCTGCTCCTTTAGTGTAGCTACTGACCCTTTTCTTCCGAAAAACTCCCTGGAGCCATTTCAGGAGTTACTCACCTACATGTACTTAGTTTGTCTGATCACTGGCCCAGAGCTATTTAGAGGTGAGCTGTGCTTCTCTCACAGATATCAAGTCAGCAAATAAGAGTCCTTGTCAGCTGAGTCATTTCTGCCAGCTTTGCATTAAGTACCATGTGTGGAGGGGATGTGCAACTGAATTTAGGCCAAGCAAGAAGGCAAAACTCACCATCACTCAACAGCACATTCCCTGCAATGGGGTCAAAAAGCAGGCAAGGGTTCAGGTATGAGCATGTCATAGCTGCATGAAGTGGACCTGGCTCTGGAAGCAGAGGATCCACACTGGCATGAAGGTAACCTGAGGTGGCACCGACAAAACCTGGGATATGCCCACAGCACAGCAGGGAGAGCACAGACAAGCCAAACTATCCCCAGAACCATGCTGTACATCCAGAATTGCAACTTGCATCATGTTAATGGGAAGTTTTATGCAGAAAAATTATGGAAGGAGAAAGAAGAAGGAATGAATATCAAGATAAAGTGCATTAAAATAAACTGCCCAGGACGGGGAGAGGAGAAGGGGTGGGTATTCAAGAGACCGTCTGGTCATATTTCCAAACATTTTCTTATCCTCATTTAAATATGCAATCAAAATCCTCGGCCTGCCTCAGGGTTTCCGTCTGCTCAGACTCCCATGGTTCTGTTGCTGCAAAGAGTCAACAGAAAGAGATCATAAACTATTCCTTGTAACAACCAGCTTCATTTTCCTATCTGTCTGATTGCAATTCTAAAAATGAATAACTGCACCCCAACCTTCGAAAAAATTACTAAACTACGCCTTACAGATACATCCCACCTGAAAATAACGCTGCAGATCTGAGGTCCTCAGCTCTCTGAAATTTAGATTTGGGATTTTGTTCAGGCACATTCTAAAGATATAGTTGTGTCAGTGATAAGGTTGCAGTACTGGTTCTTCAAATATTCCCCACCAAAGCTTGGGGGCAACTTGAGGTAAAAAAAAATCAAAGCTCATTTGAAAATTGCAGGGAAGTTACAAAGATTTCAAAGCAATGCAAAATTCAGCAGCAAGCACAGCCAATCTACCACCCAGCAAAACAACCTTCAAAACATTCTGCATATTCAAAGGCCTTGTAGGTTTTGCTCATGTTGGACATCTTCCCAAGAGTCTCCAGTGAGTGGGGAACGGCAGCACTCAAGAGAGCAGGAAAAGCAAATCAGGAACACACACTCACAAGGCAAAGTCCCTGCGGCCAAGTCCAGCTGTAAATTTGGACAGCTGACATTACAGATGTCTTCCCATTGCCCTGTTGCTAAGAGTGGCTGTTCTGAAAAGACAGACTGGGACAGGTCAGTGGGCACACACAAAACACTGCTCAGACACCCACTACATCAAGACATGAGGCTGAGTTACTGGTCACCATTTAAGAGATTGAACTGGTGCTGTGTCAATAAACAAACATAAAGGAGATGGCAGAAATCCTTATCCCTTTCCATCTCTTCCGTTTGCTGCTGATTTTCCCGCTGCCCCAATTCTGAGCCTCGGTACCAAGCCCTGAGGTTTTAAAGCAGCAGAGCAGTGAACAAGATCGCTGGTAGGAATCAATGCTAGGGTCAATTTTACCTCGATACATTATTGCCTGTTCCAGGGAGGAGGGGGAAGGCAGGTTGAAGACAACAGCTCTGTATCAGCAAACCCACATCAGCCCCCAGGGTCTAAAAGGCTGAAAAGTTTCCTGATAACAGAAGGCAGAGCCTACAACAAACAATGTGGTATTCCTGCCTGGGAGGCACAAATTCTCTCCATCACCTCCAAGCTTCCCGAGCCCAGCCGCCCACCAAAACAATTACATTATAAAAACTGCTGAAACCAGAGCTTTTTGAGAAGGCCAGTCACGAAGTCACAGCACAACAAAAAAGTAAGCAGGGAGTGTTGTAGGGGTGGGAGCCCTTCTTCCCATAGTGGCTGAATATTGGCGTGTATTAAATATAGACACAACAATAAGCAATAAATCACAGCCCAGGAGAAGTGCCAGGTGGAATGCACTGGAGGAAATTAAAATATCCTTCTTGATACTGTTCAGGATTGAAAGAAATACAAAGGAGGTCAAATTGACTTATCACCTACATAGCCAGGATGCTAAGGGGAGAAAGGATTCCGACACTTGCAGAGGAAAAAATTGCAGTTTAATAATTTCCTAGACAAAAAAATAAAACAACAAAAAAACCCACTTTGCCGAAAATGTAATACTAATATCGTAAACATCATCTCAAACAAATAAATAAATGATGAAATTTCTTGGATTTCCTACTTTTTTCCTACTTTCTTCTTTTTTCCTTCCTTTTTCCAAATGCACAGTCCCCCCACAAAATTCATCAGCAGGGCAAAGGGTCCTTTGCAATGTACACAAGAACTCTAAATGGCCAGCACCCAAATTCAGCAAATTCTGACCTCCCACATCACATCCCACCATGCCATCCATAGACCCTATCTAGTGTACCTTGCTACTGCCCCATGGCTGGGTTTTGCTGATTTCTATTATGAAACTAGTCAATGGAGGCAAAATTTGAGTCTCCCAACCCTGAAGAACTGGGCTGTTTTCTTGTTTCACTCAGAAGCAAGAAGAATTGCCTCCAGAAAGTTTGTTTTATTAAAAAACCAGCACTGGCACACTAACTTCCCAGTAATTTCAGCTAGGACTCAGTGCCATAGAGTGCATAAAACTGAGGCTGCTTTTGCTCACCAGCAGGCACGGGAACCTCTCTGACAATAGGTTTGTGTTTTGCTGGGATAAGCTTATACAAGGCTGCTCTGCAACCTCCAGGACCTAAATATGGTGCTCCTGTGAAATACCCCACCCATCTGCTCTCCAGTCACTGCTTTTTTCTTTCTTACCCCATTTTAAGGCAGTTCAGTAAACCTCCAACATTTGAATTTTAATGGGAGTGTCATACAAAGTACTTGGGCAGGCTGAAAATAGGACAGCATCTATAAATTACTGGAAAGCTGAACTCAAGATTAGGAAAGGAAAGGAAGAACTCATTTCTCTTGAAACTGGATCATATATAGATATACACACATAAATATTCTCAGACTGAGACTATACAGGACAGCCTGAAAAGGACTGCTGTTATGATCTACCTTTTAAAATCTCTGTTTTTAAGGGCTGAGGACAGGATGGCACTTTCCAGCTGTGGTTTTTTATTACTAAACACTTTTATGTCTGTCTGTTTCAGACATATGTGGATTTAGTACAAGATATCAACTCTACCTGTTGAAAATAAAATTATGGTGACATTTTCTATATCAGTTTTTATGGCAAGAGAACAGGGACATCTTGCAGTAGACCATGGAAGAGGGAACCCATTTAATTGGCTAACAAAATCCTTCCTCTTGTCTAGCACAGGGGACATCAGTTTCACACAAAACTCTTACAGAGGCAAGCAAGGCAAAAGTATGAGAGAAGTATTTTCAAGAGATGTAAACAAGTAAATGCCCACAGCACCCAGTGAGATTATTTGAGCATCTGTCTCAAACAGTTGCTATCACACTCTTTCATCTGCTTAAATGGAGAGGCATCGTTTGGATGCAAAAACCTTCTACAGTTCTTTGTGGAAGACAGCTCTGGAGCCAAGGCAGACAATTAGAAAAAGTAATTTTTCCTACTCCCTTTATAAGGTATAGTCAAGGCACAGAATCTATCCAAGTGTAAGAAGTGTCACACATAGTTGAGATGAACTATTGATTTCCAAAAGCAATAACAAGTTGCCACACAGCCCAGCCCTGCCTCATCATATGTTTGAGAGGTGATGACTCGGATAAGCAAGGAAAGGCTGGCTGCAACCCAAATTCAGAAACCTTCAGCCATACTGCCAATATGAACCACCAGGAAAAACACATGGACTTAATAAAAAGCAACACTATAATATGAAGTTAAAAAAAAAAGTAAGTATTTTAAGCCCTTCCTTGGTAAACATATGATTAATTTCTGAGGAGGACTAATTAGCATTTACAAAAAAAAAAAAATTAAAAATTGCTTATCCTCATGGTTCTTGTCATGCATTTATCTACCAGGAGATGCACTTCAGCAGTGTTTTTTGTCTCTCATTGATGAAACAAAACGTCTTCTAAACTGAGTCAGACAGGAACATGTTACCCTGGTGTTTTTTTCTTTAACCAGAAATGGGGTATATTAGAGCTGTAAATTACTTACCCTTCTGTTCTGTACATGGAGCATCTCTCCAAAGGAATTTTTAGCACTCCATTATTTAGACCCACAAAAAGTGACCTGTCGCTGTGTAGGATTTGGAGACTCTTGATTGCTTCCTGTTGTCCATCAGGAAGGATCTGCATTTCCTCCAAATAACAACTCCTCAGACTCCTGTTAGTAGTAGAAAGGGCCTTCAAGATGGTGCCATATTCTAATAGAACAAGAAGCAAGGCACAAGTAAATCTTGGAGGCAATGACTTCGTTTCATACCTGTCTAAAGAGTGAAATATTAATTTCATCTTTACAAAGTTGATTTAGCCTAGTTCTGGATCACCTCCTGCCCATGGTAGAGAGATCCAGTTATATCACTACAATCCTCAGAAACCACCTGAGAATGCACTTAGATGGGAATTCAGAAGGATGTGAACCATCTGGACAGTGAGTACCTGGCAGTTTTTCCTGGTTGGAGCACTGAGGCAGGGGGGTCTGGTCCCATTACCAGTGAGTTACAGAGCAAGGTGACCCAGGATAGCAAGAATAATTGCTGGTGCTTTGAGTCTGTATTTCTATTGGTTTATAGAGCAGATCAGTGTGATTTGATGTCATGACAAATGACAACAGATGCAGCAGCCCTGCTGGAAATCTCTGAGGCCTCCACAATGACTGCATGGGTCACAGACCTAATTGATCCTCTTCCTGGAAGAAGCCAGCTTGACAAGGGGATGCTACGGCATACACAGAAACATACATGTTTGTGCTCACAGTGCTCTTACCTAAACAATTTAAAGATCTGCTAAACTGTGGGAGATTAATGCACACTAATTTTCATTAAAACCCTCAAGAGGTCTGTCGGCCCAGTTGTTCCTGCAACTTGAGCTTTCTGTTCCAGTAACTTCTGCAGTGGTGGCAAAGCTCAGCAATTTATAGCAGTGGGGTAGGCCACCGTGTAAAGTTTCCCTTTCATTTACATGTGGAACAAGACTGAAGTCTGGGCTCAGTTAGTCTCAGGACTGGGTTTGTGTTCAGGGCTGCCTCTGGGCAGGGCTGTCTCTATTTGAGCATTTCACAGGTTTAAACATTTCCAGCATACTCTTCAGCCACCACTAACCTGGGCCATAAAGTAAACATAAGTATTTAAGGTTATGGCATTGGACCTTTCTACACTAATGATACAAGGCAGGAAGTATTCCAACTTTCTGTAAGTTGAACCTCATTTTAAGTAACTGTAAGACTCCTCACTTTAAATATCAAGATATCATATTGGTAGAATCATGCTGCATTTCCATTTAACTACAACCTTCTCATCAATGTTCATGGAGTTCTCATACTGGGAGTGTTGCTAGAACATATAAATAATAAACCAAGCTGATCACTTTTGAAATAAGTGGTGGTAAAATTTAGATAAATTATGATACAGTCCTGAAGATCCATTCTCCTAAACACGAGAATGAGGCAATGACTCTGCATTCAGATGTGAGATTAAATTAACACTTATGGAAGCAATCCATCTTATTCTAAAGTCAAAGCTTCTGCAATAGAGGATAACAACATTATACCCATGAGGCTGGCCATATGCTCTGATTAATCAAACCATTTAATTTAACCTCTATCATTAGTATGAATACAGGCTAAGATAACCATTTATAACACTTTGTCCTTCTTCAGCATCTTTACTTATCCAAGATACCTGCGATTTTCAGAAGAAGCAACATGTCCTGCTAATTAGAGGATGGAAGTCAAAATCAAGAGACTAAATCATACACTTAATTCTACCACTGGCTTGCTATGCTATGCTCCCACAAAAAAGCACTTGCCTCAGCTTCCCTATCTGCCTTAAACTTCAGTGCATGCCCATTCCCAAAAGCACTGTGAGTCATACACCAGTAGGGATGTGGAAGTGCAAAGAAAAACATAATTAAATCCCTGGGCAAACCTGGAGGTTATGCATTATTATCGCTTATTCAGAGATGGGTCTGTCATAGCTCTGAGAGGCAACTGACATGCATGAAACCACAGAGCATTCCAGCGACCTCTGCTCTTCCCCAGTGTTATTTATTAGCCTTATTAGTTGAAACATGTTTTTATAAGAGGGAGAAAAATGTTATTGTTCTTTTTAAACACAGTGGAGATTTATAGTCTGATCACTTGGGACTCTGCCTCAAGTCCCCCATCCTGCCTTTAATTTACTCAGGCAAACAACTTCAATGCTGTTTTGTACCAAAATCATATTGAATGACAACTGTGTAAGGACTTCACAACCAGGCTTCCAGGGTTGCTAGGTCTACAAGCAAGCAGGAGGAACTGTTTGAAACCCTCATGCTCTTACCTGTTCCAATATACATGACATGGTAGAGAGTATCCTTCCCCTGAACAATATCAACCACCAGTTTGGAAAATCGAATGCTGTCCTGAGTCACATACGGATCCACAGTCACTGGCTGCACCACATCATTCATCAGGAACAAGCGCTGTGCGTCCTGCAGGACTCTCTCCGTCAGGTTCTCATTAGGGCTGTCATCGTTCAGTGTCCCACACTAAATACAGAAGATTGAATTTCAGAAAGTGCATCTTCTCCCCAGCTCAGCATGGAAACTCATGTTCTGTTGATTTCCTGGGGAGGTGGGTCTGTCTGAGGGTCACAGGATTAAGTATATAGCCTGATCACAGGTCCTTAGCCTAGATTTGGCCTGTAGACCACTCTTTGAAAACTTTTCTCCTAGGTGGTCCACTGACCAGCAGTGTTTAACAAACCATGGAGAAAAAGAAAGAATTAAAATTAGATATAGATAGATTTTAAGGTAGCAGTGGAGAGAAAGTTCTCGTGGTGATAAATCCTTGAAACATTTCAGACAATCTTCAGACTCTACCTAGCATCTCAGTCTGTACAACCCGGAGTTTTAAAAAACCTGAAAACGGACTGGTTTTGCATCAAAGAACCAAACTTGCCACACTGCTTTTCTTTAATGTGCTCCCCTCTGGACAGGCCCCCACAGGTGCATCTGAAGCAAAGCAGGTTAACCATGAGCTCCCCCCACCCTCTTCTCTCCTGACAGCAAATGCCATATCAAGCCATGACTACCCATCCTCCAGCACCAAGAGAGGCACTGAAACAGGGCTCAATTCCCCAGCAAGAACAGGGGAGTAGAAGAGCTCGTCTTGTGTCTTTTAAACAGCCTGAGTCCTACCAGGTGGATAATGCATTTTAAGGCCTGAATTTCTATCTTAGATTAATCTCTATAACTCAGTAGCCAGTGCTAGTTTTTGGTCCAGTAGCTGGGGCTGGATCTCACTCTTCCCCACAATATCATGTATGGATGGCAGAAAATTTATTAGTCCAAAAGGCAGCAGGATGACTGGCTATTTGTCTTCCCAAGACCATGGGAGAACAGTGGTACAACTAAATTCTGCCAAGTCTCATACTCAGTCTACAAACAACTTCACTACTCACTTAATGGAACTCACACCTGAGAAATTTCACTAGACATAAAATCCCACACATTTCTTTTTCTTCATTTTGGGTCCAGGTATTTGGGCTTTCCTTGAAGCAAAGTCAAAATACTGAGAATTAGGATGTTGGTTTACAGCCCTTGAGCTGCAATGTACAAATTTCCCATGTGCACACTCTGGATACGCATCACAACAACTCTTGGTGGTATTGCTGCCTTTCCTAGGTGCACCACACAGCCCTTCTCCTACTACGTGCTAAAATGAGTTGTCAGGGATTTAACACAGTAAATATGGATTCCAGTGGCTGGTGTACTAAGCCTTACAATATTCTAGATGTTGTGGGAGCTAGAAGAACACAGCTATTTTAATTCTCACAACCTATGAACATGGTCACTTTTTAATCAATTTAAGCATCTTCCTCAATATCCAGACTAAAGAAACATCAGTGGGTTTTTTATGTATCCTCAGGTGGGTTTTAATGCTTTTTTCTATTGCAATGGTTTGTTTTTTAGTTCATGACTCATCCCACATTTTAAGGAGTTCTTAGATCTTGTTGTATCCTATACTCCTTGTTCACACCACTGTCTTCCTTTGGATGCTTTTCTCCCCATTCACTTTCCCTTCTAGAGCATCACCTAAAAGGAGTCCCAGTGGCAGGAATGTCATTGCTGGTTTTGTTTTCTGCTCTCAGCAAGTCACAGATAATTCTTTTGGTCTATTGGCAGCTCATGTGCTGACGCAGCATCCCTCTGGTTTGGTTTAATGTTGTTTTGTTCTAATTTCCTGATTATCTGTACTGTCCTGGTCTTCTGCATCCTTCAGTATTTCTCCTTCCTCTCTGCAAGAAAAAAATTCTGGCATGCTTCCCTCATCTTTCTTTGTGAACACTGAGGCAAAAAAAAATAATTTAATGTTTTTGCAATATCTGCCTCTTCTGTCATTAAATTACCCTTGTCATCTCCTTAAGGCTCCTCACTGACCTCTTGTTCCTTCTGTACTTGAAAAATATCTTAATCTCTTTTTGCAATCTTCCTTTTGTCTACCACATACCTCTTTTTCCTTTCCTTATTTTCCTCTGACCCTTTCCTTTCATCTTGCTGCTGCAGTCTTTACACTCCACATTTTATCTGATACTTTTCACTACATGGAAATGCCCTCCAAAATCCTTTACTATTCCTTTCCAAAGTCCTTTACTATTCATTTTGGGTTAGCCTAGCAAGGGATAGAAAGTCCTTGATTCTAATATTGATGATTCTAGTAATATGATTCTAAATATTAAGTTTCCCTTGATATTTCCTTTAAACTCAAAAAACACCCAAGAACAAGCACAACAAAAACCTGGCTATGTTGGCATGGCTGGGCCTTCAGCAAGGCTTTGCTTCTTGGTTTTGAGTGCACCAAGCTGAGAGGGTGATCAAGAGGCCAAGCCTGTGCCACCTTGTATGAGCAGGAGCACTCAGTCAGGTGCCAAAAGGGAATTCAGGAGGAGGAATGAGGTTTCTCAGCAGGAAGACAAGGCTGTCCCTGCCTGCAGCAGAGACCTGCCTCCCATCTGCTCTTGCTGTGATTTCAGGGAACTGTAGAGCTCTTTTTGGAAGGTCCTTGACATCACCAGTTTGAAGGCAGATGGCACTTGCAGGCAGCCTCAGCACATTTGCCATAATAAAGGAGAGCCAGATTCAGACATTTGGGCTGAAAGGATTTGCCATGGGAAAGGAAGGACATGAAGACAAGTCCATCCTCCCTAGGATTCCCCTGCTGGGAGGAGGCTGAGCTGTAAAATGGGCTCGTGCTTCAGAAGACTCAGGTTTGTTGGGGCTGTCCCACACATACTCTGCCCCACACTGACTGGATCTGGTGATAAAGCAACTGAAGCTGTTTTATAATTTTTGAAATTGCTTGAACTGATAATCTTGGAAAATTGCTCATTCATAAACTCAAAGATTTTTAAAAGGAGAAGGAACCCCTGTGACAATCCTCGTGTGTCCCCTTCCACCAGTTACTGTGGCAACATGTCTATGGCTTTTGGCTGAGCTACCATGTGTTAAAAGGTCATCCATCTTCCACTGAAGCACTTGTAGCCTTAGGGGCCCTATCAAGTGATGGAAAATTCATCATTTCCTTACAGAGTCACAGTGGTTAATTACCCTTCTTGTTTAAAAAATACAGGTTGTGTCCATTCTAGTTTGACTTTGTCCAGCTTCAGCTTTCAGTCCTCCCCAGTTCTAGTAGGGACATTTCTTATGTCCTCTTGTGAGAGTCACATCCTCAGAGTACATGTGTCAGTGATAAGTGCAACAGAGATTTTTATAATTCATTATTATAAAATACCCAGACCATTCTTATTATTCCTTAAACCATTCAATTTTTGCCAAGAATTCTGTAGCAAGGAGTTCCACAGACTAAAACACTCATAAATGAGGAGAAATACAATTTATCTGTACCATGGATCTGCCTGAAAAAACGAGCCCTATATAAATCAACCCACTGAAGTGACAGAACTTCAAAGGGACTGCAGTAAACTGAAGGGCAACAGCAGTACCTGGAAATTAGGGATGGGGTTTAAGGTTGGCAGCCAGGCTGATCTTGGGTTTTCTTGGTAACGGAAGGGGCCATTAAATGCTTGAGTAATGGCACTCAGATTGAAGGCACACACTGCTGAGGCAGCTATGCTGTTTCTGGAAAAGGGGAGGGAAAAAAAATCAATTTAATCATTAGAACATTGACATTTTCATCATAACAGACATCAAACTCCACTCAAATAAAATACATGCAAATTGCTAGGTAGATGAACAGTGATACCAATCTCACAGGGAGTATAAATAAATAAATAAATAAACAGTAAAATGCAGAGGACTTGTGTGACAAATTTGAGAATGAATTTTAACTTTGGTTTTAAAATGTCAGAGATTTAAGGGCCATGGAAGCAGTTCTGACAAGAAAGGTGAATACAGTTTAATTTGCATGGATTATTGGAGTCTGGCTTTATTTTTATTTTTTTAACAACCCATCTACCTTTACTGATTACAAACAAGCTAATTTTTCATCTTTTGTTGTTTCTCAAGGTGAAATTCTGTTTCCATTGGTTCCTGAAATCTTCAGCTATAAAATATATCACCTAATATGAAATTTATATACATGCAGTGGAAGGGAAAAGGCAACAGTGACAAACCAGCTGATTCTGACAACAGCTCAGCATGTCTCGCTAATTCATGAAAACCTCTATTTTCAATGACCACATTTCACTTCTGTGTGTTCCCAGGTGGGAACAGGACCTGTGTAGGGCAGAATGTTCACCAAGCATGCTCAGCCAGGGGAGGCACAGCATGGTGAGGGAAATGCTGCTGTGGGAAGGACTCTTTGGAAAAGAATGTGCTTTAAGGATGCTGGGCTGCCTAGTCACACTGCACACACATCAGCTGGCCTTTGCTGCTCCATTTCAGTCCTGGAGGACCCATTTCTGCAGGGTCCTGAGCCAGCTCATCTCCTCCTCCCTCAAGAGGGTTGGAGGGCATTTCTAGATGGTGACCTCAACAAAACTGACCCAGAGGGACATTTGATAAGTGATGACCTGAAATTTAAACCTGCTCCCAGTTCTTCCCTTCCCCCCCCACCTTTTTTTTTTTTAGGAAAACAACAAGGTTTAGAGAAAAAAGATATCAAAATAAAAGTTAAAATAGGGCCAGCATGAGAGACTGATTAGTCACGGTGCCTTTTAAATAACCCAAGCCCTGCTGTATGTATCTTTCTGCTAATTAAGGCAATTTGAATTCCCTGAAAAGAACTTTTTTTTTTTTAAACTAAACCAATAATTACACTCTCTTGCACACACAAAAAAAAGCCTTTCTTCACCATCCCAGTCTGGAAAGCAGAAGAACAGATTCTTTCACAGCATATTTCTTCTTAGCAATACAACATCAGGAAGAACTTCCTGCTTTGCCTTCCCATTCTCTGCTCCCCCCTGCCCCTTGCAATCCCAGAATGATGGAGTAGCTCACTTTGAACATGTCAAAGCAACGCCAGGCAAACCTTTCTCCACTTTTGTCTGAACACTGCTGATGCAGTGCATGCTCACAGACAGCAGCTCTTAAGACAAACCTAATGATGGATGACAAGTAAATGCCTTGAGGCGCACACAGGAAAAAAAAAGACAATGAGGGAGAAAATGAAAAAGGAAAAGAAAGAATAAAATTCCACTAGTCTAATGAAAATACTTAGGGAAAAAAAAAAAAAAGGATATTTTTAGGGTCCTGCTAAGGACTTCATAGTTTAACCTTTTCTCTTTGCTGGAAAGGAGAAAGGAAAGTGGTTTTCCATTAAATCTGTGGACCATTTTCTTTTCCATCTGTGACCTGGCACATTTCCCATCCCTCCTTATGAAAAGTTTGATCCCAGTCTCAAGCCAGTGACATCAACTGGTGCAGCTGGGCCCTGTGTTTTTGTGTGAAGTGCAACTTCCTTTATTCCCACCTCCTACCTCCTGTGACTAACTAGTTGATTTAAAGAATGGGTTAAGTTCAAAGAGGTTTTAACATTGTCTCTATTACCTCCCAGAAATTTTTAATAAAAACATCTTAAATATTTCATCAGCAGCTTCCCCCAAAAGCTCTCTTTCCCACTGATTCAGCTGGGTATAACATAACATGCAATAAATCTTTACGTGGGTGTTACCACCACGACTAATTCCCCTTTGTTATAAGATGACCCTAAATTCATTAAACATGAACCTTCCAAAGTAGAAAGTACCTGTAAACACCAGCAATAAAAAAATCATAGTTTTGTGTTGCATTGGCATTTTATCACAAAGAAACTCAGACTGGTGCATAAATTAACCCTCCTTGGTATGCAGAGCTCATGCAGCATGATATAAGTCCCAGTGAAAGTTAAAAGAATAATTACCATTATTTCTGTAGTTGGATGACAAATTGGAATATTTTCTCTCTTTGAACTTTTAAAAGAACACCATGTTGTAGACCCAAAATGCTATTTGATCTAACTTCAGCTGTTATCAATTACTAATTTCTTCAATTACACAAATGTTGCATATTATATTATCTTCAGAAGATACAAGAGAGATTCTACATCCCTGATGTACAAAGAATGCTCAAGTGTACCCAAGGAGACAGGTAACACTCATCACATCTCATGTTAAATTTGGGAGATGGACACAGTAGAAGAGAACTGTCCTAGCCAGAGCTAGTCTGTCTCCCTCTTGATTGTCCAAAAAGTCACCAATTTGATAAATAAAATACAGTTATTAATATTTTTCTCATTTCCAACTTCCATTCTTGGCTGGATGAATGGACAAATGGATAGATAAAACATTATCACTACGGGCAAAGAAGTCCTATCCAACTGCAAAAAAAAAAAAAAAAGGGTCAGCTCAAGTGCCCAAAGCAGTAGCCAGATTTCCTTTTAATGTTCAGGAAGTTTGGCTAACATCCTCTAAATATTTTGAAAGAATGACTCATGTGCCTTTCAATCTGAGGACAGATCTTCCCCAAGTCCACAGTCAAGGTGCAGTGCTCAATCATGTTTATTTTTTCTAGGTGCTTCTCTGTTGGCTCACTTTTGACTGACATTGGCAATGGTGGAAGAGAAACAAAACATGGAAGAAGGATGAAGGTGGCCATGAGGGTACATATTTCTTGGAATTTACAGAGGGGGAAGAACATTCAGGCTCTTAGTGAGGCTCCCCAACACTGCTTTAGCTCAAGAAGCTGGGGCTGATGCTTTGTGACTTCAAGGGCTGAAGTTCAAGGCCTCTCACACCTGCAGGTGACACATTAAAACAGGAAGGTTTGTACTTCAGTGGGGCTTCACTTCTTTGGTTTTCTGTGGGCTCCCTGGGAACAGGCCTTTATTAATATTGGGCAGTACAGCCCTGCACACAAAACCCCAAAGAAGTTGGCTGCCTCACACAAGGAAGGCACATCTGCCATATGGAGTAACTACTCAGATTTTCATTCTCTAGTTTACACGTCAGGCTAACACCCCCCTGGAGAACATGTATTATTGAAACTCAATACTATGCAGACTGGTTATAGCTTGAAACTTATCATCCTAGCCTTAGGCATCAGAGAAAAAGTTATTTGAGTTTTCCTGACTTAAAAATATACATTATGAGTTTTTTAATATATTTTTTAATTAACTCCTCTTTTCCGTTCTGCTTTCACAGCTACACTAAATCATTCCAATTACAAGTTTTTTCAATATCAAGCCAAGAAGAGGTGATTATGAAGTACCAGAAATCATACCTTCCCCTCAGAGTTCCAACACTGCTTTTGATTTGTGGACCTCAAACAGTCCGTGGCAGAGGTAAAGCCTCCCCGCCTTGGAAATGCTAAACGCCTTCTGTGACCTTGCTATTACAGTGTTCAACTGCAATAGATGTTGTTTTCAATATAGGCTGTTGTGATCCCATCTGCCTCATTATTCTCCTTCCAGCCCTTCTCTCCCAAGTTTGTGCACCTGTCCATCTCATGGGCCAGCTCCAGTGTTCACAAAATAGTATCAGATTGTCCAGAAAATTAATCAGATTGTCCTGGAAATTAATGTACTTCTGTTGGGTCATTTTTAGATCATCACTCTAAACTACACAAGTTGCACTGTCCCTACAAAAAGTCTGAAGCCTGTCAATGCCCAGGTTTGTATCAAATTAAGTTACCCCAAAACTGCACAGTCACATTTTATGGACTCCAGGAATCTGTGAACCATGGATTAAAACCACTGTCCTAGAGGCTATGCTGTCACATTGGGTAACACAGACCTATCTATTCTTTCACATTTACCAAATGATCTTCCAAAAACTGTTGCTCAGACTGTTTAAGAAATCAATATCTTGTCAGTCTCAGATGGCTGGGGATAGAGGAAGGGCAGTAAAGCCAGTGCAACTTACACATTAGTAGTGAAGACACCATAGATCAGATCTTGCTCAGGAAGGTAGAAGGTGCTTTGCAATTCATTGTAATAGAAAGGGATTTCTCCAGCACGGGAGCAGTTCAGTCTGGCCTTCATGAAAGTTGTCCACGTGTCCTCCAGCAAAAATCTCCCTCCAATATCATTTTTGCAAACCCTTGCCACACGAGAATAAACTGTTTTCCCACAGTCATGTTCCACCGCGTTCTCACGGAAGAAGAAGTAGGTGAACAAGCCGATGTCATAGGCAGCAATAAAGTTAGGCTCTGAAAAACAAACATTTGAAGAGATTTATATAGGTTAGAAATCAATCTACGCTCACTGACTTGCTCAGTGCATTGTGCTTCCAGCTCCATTTATGCAGCCTGTCAAAGCTGGGACCACAGGGAGTTTGGAGTCAGCAGAGGACATAAAAACAGTAGATGGGAATAATGATATATGAGGATATAGCTCTAGTACCTTTTTTCAGATCTTGGAAAGGCCCCATTGTTTCTCCACTTTATTGGCAAAGCTGCTACTGATTTCAGTGAAAGCAGAGTTCAGCACTTTGCATATGCATGACTGTTCTCTGTACCTATACTCATTTTACAAGAAAAAGCCTTCCCATTGGGCTGCTTCACCTATTCACTTTTGAAGTGGACCTTGTGATGTGTTAAATATGCTGTGTGCATCCGCCCAATTCCCCAGGCAACTGCACTGAAACATTCAAGCTACTCTCCCAGCACTGTCACATCTGGCTTTTATCATGAAACCTTTCCAGTTTCTAGGCACAAAAGATTATCTTATGTCCATAAAACAAAACCATGCCAGAGACTGACAGTAGTGAAACATGCTCTCCTTAATGCTTTTTCTCCTAAAATTTTCAGTATTATTTTCACAAGAATTGACAAGAACTTTGAATTTAGTAGGTTTAGTAATAAATATTTTAATTTGGGATATAACAAAGCTCTAAAGTGTATAGTCTTTTATCCTAAAAGTTTATTTGGTAAAAGGAAAAGTTTGGCCAATGAATAATATTTGACCAAACAAACCTGTTGGTTTTATAGGGTGTTTTCACAATGTTCATTTCTGAGTAGTGCTAAAAGGAAAGTACAGAATTCCTTTAACACTGCAGCCCAGTAGAGAAAGGAGAACAGAGAAAGGCAGGCCACTGGTGCTGCAAGGCAAGTTTGGGAGGCAGATGATGGTACAGATGGGAGGGCATTGCAAATCATCTCCTCTCAAACTTTCTCCTTCAAACTAACCATGAACCTTAAAGAGATCATTGTGATCTCCAATCTGACCTTTCTAACACAAGCCAGAGAATTTTGCCCTGTAATTCCACTATCAGATCCTGTAACTAACAGGAGAATTAGACCACATCTTTCAAAGGAGATCCAGTATTAGTGGAGAATATCACCTGGCTTTACATCCATCACTTTCCTCAGTGACTTGTCCAAATGACTAAAAGACTGACCCAGCTGCAACCTGTACTTCTTTTCCCATTTGACATTATCTGGTTTCAGCTTCCAATCACAGGTTCTTGTCATGACTTGTCTGCTCAATTAAAGAACTTCATCCTTTCCAAAATCTTCTCCTGATGTAAGTACTTCTATATTATGAACAAAACACCTTTTATCTCCTTTTCAGAAGGATAAATAAATTGAGCTCCTTAAGTCTCTCACTGTGAAGCAGGCTCTCCAAGTTTCAAATCACTGAATGGCTCTTCTCTGAATCACCTTCAGGTTTTCTGTTTCTTGTTGAAAAGTGGCCAGAACAGGACTAAATTACTCCAATGCTACCAATGCTGCACAAGGTTATAAATCCAAAAGTCACATTAGTCTTTCCAGTCACATAAGCAAACTTCAGTTTATGTTTGTCTTCCTTAAACTCTCCTGTTCCAATGTGGCTTCCTTCTGAATCTTGTATTCATGCAGACAAGAGGAACATGTTTCCAGTGAGTGTATATGGGCTATGATGCATCTTGGTCCTAATTTACAGTCTTTCCTGATGACACCCTTTTCCTTACACTCCAGGTCTCCATCCTGACTTTGGTATGCCTGCAGGAAGCCTAGTTCAGTCTTATTAAGCTCCAGAGAGTGCACAGTCCCACTGCTCTTATCTTTAATTGAAATGTCCTGAAATCTAATAGAAAGATTTCAAATATATGGTCAATTTACCTGGGTAAAAGGAGATAGGGGAAATATTGGGGTCTCCATCACTACAATCTGCTCAGACTAGAAGTGCTTTGCCCCAGTTGGAAGGTGTGGACTCTATGCAGGAATTACTGGTTGAAATTCTATAGCTTGCTTGATGCAGGGTATTATCACTGGGGTAAGAGCTGCTTTTAATAACTACAAATCCACATCAGCATGGACTCACATGGAACATAATGTGCTGTGAAATTTCTCATTTTTGGAGTGATCTTGCACTGAAACCAGGCATCTTCAGCTGAGTCAGTGGAAGTAAAGAATGCCTATTACTCTGCAGAACTGGGTCAACAATATGATGCTTTAAGTTGTTTTGATCTTCAAATCTTTGAGTGGTTTTCTTGTTAAAATTATGTATTTGGTCATCTCACAAGACAGAGGCCCATATATATGTTAAGAAGCCTGTAAGACCCGCTTTCTATATTCTAAATCAACTTTTCTGAAATAATTCCAGGCTCTTTTTAAATGTCTTCTAAACTGCATTGATTATTGCTCCGGAAGCCCTCCCCCATCATAACTCTGGATCTCAATATGAAAAGAGAGAGAAAGATTTACAAGCCTGTCAAGCTGACTTTAATATATCTCTTGCTCAGATGTGACCCACATGACTTTACCATTGAGCCATTTGGAGTTGTATTGTGCTGTCCTAAGTGGAGGAACATTTCCAAGGCTGCGGTAAATAGCAGGATCCCGTCCAGAAAAATCAATCACAGTTGCAGCATAGAGTTCTCCTCGTGATGTAATCACAGCTGTTGAGTTGTGCCGAGGGTCGTACGGGCACCGAGCCACTCCATTAATTCTGTCAATGATTTTGCTGAGATTTCCTACCTGTGTTTAAAAGGAGAGAGAATAAAATTTAAAGAGCATCTGACTTTCTTAATAGTATAAGGAATTTGGTTTGCCCATTAATATCTACAAGCAAATCCCTGATTTTTAAAAATCAGGTAGCTATGAGAATGTGATCTTAGTGATGACTGAAAATTGATCTTTACAGCCATCATTTGCCAATGTAAGAAGTTGTGTCACTGATCCTATTGCTTTGTACAAAGGGTGATTCCCCAGCCAATAAGGCCCAAATCCACTTGGTGTAATCAGGTGCTCCTGGCACAAGCACAGGTTTTTAATCTTCCATAGACACCTCCTGAATACTGGCCTTAACAAAAACATACAAATAAACAAGTTCTCTGGACCTGCTCCTGCCTCGCTTGAATACAAAGGGAGTTTTGCTATTTATTTTAAAGAAACTTTTAAGTATTCAGTTCAGGAGGTACTCACAGCTAGGCTTGTCTATATTCCCCATTTTCAGTGTCATACCCAAGGTTTGCATGAGCAGCACCTTGTCCAGACCAAACTTGCCCATAACATGAACTTTTTGTTCCCCAATTGCAGACACACATTCATTGCCCCAAAGCAGCCAAAAGAAGAAAACCAACATAATTTCAGTCAGCTACATTTAAAACATATTTTGTGCAGCCATGATAGCCTTCCAAATGACTGTCCTTCCCCAGAGCATGTATCCAACCCTCTCTATCACTGTAAAAGAGGCAAAACAGACCTGTCGGCTGGAACACACTGGTGAAAAGGCATTGGTACCACAGGTAAAAACCTTCTTGCCATAAACAATCAGCACTCGGACATAGTTCTGGCACTCTTCCTATAGAGACACAAGACAGAGACAAATTATTTTTGAAGATTTTATTACATTAAAAATATACCTGTATTGCAGCAGGAATGCATCTTCCCTAGCTCTGACTTGGGCTGAGGTTTGCTGCCTCAAGCAGCGCACAGCTGTAGGGAGCCAGCAGTCTTAGTGAGCAAGCCCAATTTGCTGGTTATTTCTCTAATTGTAGCCCTGCACAGTCCTGGGGTAGGATGTTATCCATCAGGTCAATTTTATCATAGCTACAAGAGCCTCTTTCTGTGCTCTGCTTAGATTGGAGGAGAAATTCTCCCTCTTTCCATGATGATACTTCTGACCTATTTTCCCAGTAATGCCGCAGCTTTAAAAACATTACCCAGACACCAACTCCAGTGAAGGACAACAGGTCTGTCTGCACTATAATTCAAACCAGTGTCAGCTGGAAAACAGCAGGAAGTTCTCTTTAATAGACCAGGCTGGTCAGAGAACCTCATGCTTGAACAGGCTCCCTGTTTTATTTCCTGCCTCCCAGAGGACTGTGTGCTCAGGATTTTCCATGGTAGAAGGAGTTTCTCTTTCAGGCCAGGCCAGTAAGAAATAGCAAGTTCTCAGTCTTAGTTGCTTGACCACTTGCTGGTACCAATAAACAACTCCCTCCACATGGCAGTCCCCAAAGGTGTGGCAGTCCTGCTGTCCCATGCTGTGCTGGGGTGGCAGCACAAGGCTGCTGTTGCCTTTTTGTTCAGAAAATCACCTTCATGTTGTTAGAGAGAGACATGGTCTCTTTGCTCCCACAGCCTCATATCCAGAGACATGTGGAGTGCAGATCAGGCTAAGTGAGCACCTCTGGAGTTCAATAGCAGGGGTAGAGCAGGCCATATAAGACAGGAACTTTCTAACAATACACACAGGAAAAAGGAGGTAAGACACTAGTGTGCAATTCCCAGAGGAGGTGCAAGAGGCTGCAGAACCCCAAGAATTACCCAAAGAATCCCAATGAGCCACGTGCATCAGCCTGCCTGCCCTGGGCCCTGAGCCACCTCAGGGGAGAGAATATCAACAATGACTGGCACCCGCTGGGCCCCAAGGGAAGAAAGTTTATTATGTTATACCATAAACAGAAAAGGAAACTTGTTAAAAAATAGCAGCCTCAGCTGGGTTACCCAGGCTGCTTTGCTTTCTTCTCTCCAATAGATCATCATTTGCCACTAAGTTGAGCCTACAGCTGCAGACACCACTTCTCTCTCCTGTAAGCAGCAATCATTCAGCATGCTCCCACCTCACAGCGCTCCATGCTGTTGATCATTTCCCTGAAGACTTCATTTGCAACACTCAGCAGTGTAAAAACACCCCTATGATCTGGAAAGGAAGGGGCTTGCTCAGCTGAATTACACACTATCTTATTTCATTTGCTGTATGGAAAGGACTCAACATAGAAACCTGCCAGTGTTAGCCACGTGATAGGTGATCCTTGCTTTTGAATGGCACAGACTGCACTCCAGAACCAGCCCAGGAGCACTTGCCCAGCCTAGAAAGAGGCTACTGAGTGCCACAGAGCACATGCTGCCAGACTTGAGGGGCAGCAGGAATCAGATACCCAATGACCAACACCCAAAAATGAGAGCTTAGATTCATAGCTGGGTAAACTCTTTTTATCTCAGAAGCAGATCAGTCATGGTGACTGTGCATCAGTCAATGAAACAAGACCTTGAGAAGCACTGTCCCACCCTGTGTTGAGAATAGTGGTCTCATTGCTTCCTTTAATAAGACAAAGGGCCTGCCAGCCTTTCTGCCCTCTGCTGTCATTGCCGCATGGTGCTGGGAGCCCTGTCAGTTCCTTCCTGCCCTAGAGACGTCTGCATTTCATGACCGAGTTAAGTAATTCCTCTTTCTGTAGAGTATGGTTATTCAATCCCACATCATTTTAGGACCACTATATATTTGACTGCAAAGTACTAAAAATTCTTGAACGAATGCTGTTAAAAAAAGTATTAGGTCGTCTCCCAACAGAGTGTTGTTTGCAGAATACAATTGATTTGCCACCTAACCTAGAATGCAGTTCTGTACTCAAATTTCACACAGTAAGAGAGTACCCACCTGCTCCCCCTCCACTGCCATCATTCTCTGCTTTGTGCAAGGTCTGAGCACAGCTGCTGACTGAAAACAGCTAAGACCAAGTATGTTGCTGGACCCTTTCCTGCCTAGCTACTACAATGTATTTCTAACTAAAGCCCAGCAAAAATATTAAATCCTAATTTGGAGAATTCCCTTTATTTGCACAGAGCTCTATTACAGATTAACAAACTTCAATTTTTATAAAAACCTTCCTAGTTGAGAGGATAGCACACAAAAAGAATTTCTGTGGAAGGTCATGTGCTGCAGTCTCCTGGCAGTGGTGAATTTGTTGCACATTTTTTCTCCAGTTTTACTGTGTAAAAATAATGCTGCTAGGTGTGGGCTGTGTCCACCTCTAGTTTTTCCTATGAGTTAACTGAGCAGGCATTTTCTTTAGACCTGCCTTAGTGATGATGGTAGCAGCACTCCATGCTCCTGGAGGAAGAGCAAAGATAATATGCTCATTTCATGCACTTGTCTCAAGGCAATTTAAACACTTAATGTAATGTTCTGAAACAGATGCACATCGTCTGCCCTGCTCTCTCAGCTGGGGGAATTTAAACAATGCAGATGCTAAACTCACTGTGGTGACACAGTGGGCTACAGGACACACACAAAGGTCTAACTACCAGACCACAGATCTCCAAACTGCCTGGCCCAAAGCGGAATACAGTGCTCACCTCGTGTTTCATATTGCTGTACCCATGGCCAGTCACAACAGTCTATGAAGTCTCCAACAAAAGCAAAGGAACAATACCACTTAAATGCTCTAGTTTGCAGGATTTTTCTCAAGACAGTGTCTGGGAGATTTAATTAGATCCTCTTACTACCCCATTCTCCAAATAAATAGCAAGGAACAGCCTCCTCTCTGTGTTCTTTAAACCAGCCTGGATTTGCTCTGAAAAGTCATTCAATACAGCGCTCTCTGCAACAAGTCATAGCTGAGGCAACTGGTTAGTAAAATGATCTCACAAACCCCTACAGAAAATAGGAGCTATTTAATGCAGTTTCTTCCATGTGGCTGGAAAACTCTAGGCACACAGGAAGCAAAAAATCAGATGGGCTGTAATATAAGCAGAAAATTTGGCAAGTTTGAACCCACTTCTTGTCCAGACAAGACAATATTTGGATCCTGCTCTCACATTATGGAGCAGACAGTTAAATCTGTGTATGATCAGTCTGCAAATCTCATCACCAGAAGATATTACAGGGATCAAGAGATTAAGGTTTTAAATAAAGAGGGAAAGACTGCATATTTATATGGTTAATAAGAATAACTCAGTTATATTAGTTAGGATTATTATTAAATATATGGCACAGCTGATAAAAACCTGTGGCTCACTGCCAAAGAATTAAGCATATTTCTGATTTTCCTATGAATTGCATGTTACACTTTGAGGTTCTTTCCCCAAAATTACCTGGTACTCATCCCTTTATTGAGACAGGACCATAAATTTAGAAGGCATCACTTTTCTCCAGTCTAATGACCCTAGTTTTCAAGGAAGAAGTCATGACTTCTAATGCTCAGCACTAAAAGCCACAGGATCTCACAGTCAGAACAAACTGCACAGAAGTCCCTTCCTGCCACGTCCTCAGTTTAAGCCTATTCTCATTTATTTAATTTTTTGTAGCATTTAGAATTGCTGTTCATGCACTAAGAATGCTGCATGTCCATGACTGTGGATAGGACCAAGTCTCTTTCTAGCTCACTGAGACATCAGGTTGCTTTGAGAGCACAATTCAAACCTGAGAAGCAAGAGTGGTGCCCTGTTACTGCCTTCATTCATGTGGACAGTCCAGCAAACAGAGGGGCTGACCTCCTGGAGCTCCCATTTGAGGTAAAATTCAAAAAGTTTCAGGTTGCTGCAAATAAGCAAGATGCTTCTTAGTTGTTTATTCTGTCATCTCTTAACACCAGAGTTCTAAAATGTTATAAACCCTTAATCTCATTGTACAGATGCATTTTTCTTTGAAAGCATAGGTATATATAGGCACTACTTTAATGGCTCTCTAATTTAAATGAACTACCCAAGCTCTGTTGTCAGAGGTCTCTTTTTTAATTATTGGTTAACACTATTTCATCACATACTGATATATTTTAGTTATACAGTGAGAAAAATAGCTGTTGCAGAGTCTGTCACGTTCAGCAGAGAAACACGGACTGCTGGAGCACAACCTGGAGTTCAGAGAATCAGCCAGCAGAAATCCAAGTTATACCTTCTGTGACATTTTAGAGGACAGCAAACATTTAATTTATCTGCTGTAGTTTATCCCAATTTATTAAAAAATAATCAAGACCCAACTTTGTTCTTGAGCACTGCTGTTGATGCACTCTCAGACATCTGTATTCACTTCTTTGGACAAGCAATTCTGTTACTCAGTTTAAGCCAAGGCCCCAACCAAGCTACCCTTCTCCTCTGAGTGGAACAGGTAGCAAAGAGAATTGCTAATGATTTTTTCCAGACAAATGTTCTTTAATAGACGTCTAATCAAATTTATTTGGGGACCAATTCTGCATTGATAGCTTAGCAGAAGTAATAGGAATATAGGTTCAGGTTTCTAGGAATAGCGGCAAAGGGGATAAAAATAGTTGATGGCCTCCTGGTTATTTCTGTTTCCCTGGGGATTTCTATGGTGCCTCTCCTACCTGGATTCCTATTATTCTTAAGTGGTGTGGAGTTTCCCAGTTCCACCAGATAAGCAGATAAGCATCTCTGAGTGACACATAGCCACTGGAAGGCCTGAAATAACTCATTCCTCCTTTAGCTCAGCAATTTCTGTGCACCAATCCCATTACACTGGGCTGAAGCCTTGGGCTAGGATTTCCCTGTAACCTTGTGAATCCACAGCAACAGGACACCAGACAAAAACGAAGGAAGAAGCTATACTGGCAATGCAGTGGGACAACCCAGCTGGATGCCGATCAGATATTACTCTCACTTCTTTCTTGCTCCAGAAGTGTTATTAGTGCATCATCTTCCTCCTGGCTATACAAAGCTCTTAGGGCAGAATGTTAGGGCTGCCATTTTTCACTGTCTTTTCACAAAGGGTTTCTTTACACAGTTTAATATGATGATGTGCTGCTTTTGGAACATTAACAAATAATTTGGTGCTTAGACAAAAGAAAGACCAAAGTTCTAATGCTTAAAAAGCCACAATTTTCCATGTTAGGCAAAATTCCTTAAATGTGGTTGATGGCAACTGTTATGCAGAGACAAACCAATTACAAACTAGGAACTGAGCAATTCCTAATGAAATTAAATACACCTCTTTCCCTTCTGCTCTATCCATCATTCATTTTAACTACAACCTCTGGATGATTTCATTTGGAAGACACAAAGAAAGGCAACATAACACTGACTTTGTTCTCTGCACTGTCTCAGTAATGTGGATGTTTTCCAGGGGACAGGTTAAAGATATTGATCATGCTACACTTTATAAATGCTGCAAAAACAAGAATGATTACTTGTGGAAGCCAGTGTGGCTCTCCAGAGACATGGTAAGAAAAGCATGCACACTTCTTTGAGGAAACCACAAGTTTTAGCTGATAAAAATAACATCAGTGAAAGAGACTTTTCTGAGGTGTTTGTTTCAGTATCACATGATATATTGCAAAGAGTTAATTTTAAAATCAGGTTCAGGAACTTATACATTAAGTGATTAAAGTCTGATTAATTACTGTGATGAAAAAAATCCTCAAAGTGAAATCACTCATAAACTTGCTTGTTCTAGTGGAGCCCTAGCTGGGGTGGTACTAGCCCAGTATCAATGTTTTTCTTAATAAGCATTTAACCTAAAATTAAATAGTGGCAAAAGTTGCCACTATCACTGAGGTCAATGAGAGATATAGATATAGATTAGATATAGATATAGATAGATATGTGCCAGGATGGTTGGTGAGCTGGACCTTACAAAAAATACATTTTTAAAAGATATTATGCATTAAAGAAAGAGGAACAAAAGGGCTTTATGTATAAGCAAGGAGATTACATCCCAAGAGTAGTAACTGCGTAAAGGATTTAGTGGTCAGAGTGGCCAGGCAATTCTGCATGATCTCCTGTGGCAGAGGAGCTTAAAAAACTGCCATGTATATGAACTGAGGAGGGTGGAAGGTTGTTTTAATCACACTCAGGCATTAGAGAGATTGACAAGGGAATACAGGTGAAAAACTGGAGCATGCAGAAAATAGACAAAAAGTATTCAAGGGCAGTAGAAAAATGACTTAGAGAAAGAAGCTTGGAGAATTCATCTTTTTACTTTATCAGAAAGCCAAAGTACTGCATTAAAAAGAGCATGTAAGTGCTCTCTGTAAAATATAAATATTGGTAACTAAAGGGCTCTTTAATCTAGCAGAGAAGGGCAAAATGAAACACAGCCACTCAAAACTGAAGACAGATCCAAATAAAAAAAAAAACATATGTTACCAGGGCAGGTGATCTGCCATTCTGCCATTAGAATAATCCACCAAAGCTCAGGGAGCACATTTGCTTCAGGTCTTCAGTGCAAAACTTTCCATCTTTTTCAAAAAGGTACAGCAGAAAAACACAGGTACTGAGCTCAATTTAGGAATAAACAAGTGAAATTCATGGCCAGAGGTATCAGAAAAAATGGTACCTTCTAACCTTTTATCTGAGACACAGATTTTTCAGTAGGTACTCAAATGGGAAGTAGCTATTATATAATAATGATAATATTATATAATAATAATTGCACTTCCATGATATGCATTTTGTGGCTCTTATTCTTGTGCTTCTTATTTTTCTTAGGGTACAGCTGTGTGCATTTTAGGAAGAGAGTTTCTAAGCAGCAGGAAGTATCTTATTTAGCTACTCAACAGGCACAATAAAAAAGGCATTTTAATACATGAACCAGTTTCGAAAGCTTCACCTAAAATACATACATTATTAAATGGGCAAGGAAAATGTAAGTTTTATATAGTCAATGTAAGTCATATAACTTAGGCAAACTACACTGTGAATTAATGTGAGATCCAAAGGTTCTCCGTATTTCTAGCCTCTATCACCATATACCTAAGTGCCTGACAATCCACAACATATTTATCATCAAATCATCTGTGCTGGGTAGAAACCTGCCATTAGTCAAGTTTTGGCAAAGCAGAGCTGAGGCAGACAGAGCTCTGCACCTTGTACCACCACTGCACAGCAGAATCAGAAGAGTTCACAATTAGTGCTGCCCTCACCTGCTGCTTTTACCCAGCCAAGGGCAGTGGTCCTGGGTCAGATCTGGGCTTAGCTGGAGTAGAGCACTTTGTGAGCTGCCTATACTGAACTCAGTAATTTTGAGCTGGTGCCGAGTCATTTTTCTGTAGTGTAACTGACAATGAATGTAAAGGGGAACTCAGCTGTGAACATATAGGTTAGAGTAGATAGAGATCTGGGAGATCAGTGTTTGCTTAGCTACTGCAGAATCCTTCTGCCTTTGTAGCTTCCTGTCTTCTTGTCAGAGTCTTAGTCAACACCTTCGTTTGCCACTATTTGTATGTCAAGAAGTGCCTAAGAGTCTGCTTAACTACTGCTCCTCCAAACTTCACTCACAGTCACTGCACCCACCAGATGATTTCAAACTCTGTGTCATAATCAGCATAAACTCAGCTATTCAGAGCATTATGCTCATGATTTTTTTTTTTCCAAACCCTTTGCAGTGTGAGAAGGCAGCATTGAAGATACTTAGACCATGTCTTACTTTTGGCCTAACAGTAACAAAGATAGATTGAAATTACCCTAGAATTTGTTCAGTCACATGTATGGCTTTACCCAGGGGTTGACAAAATATTTCTGGGTTTTAAATACAAATTCTTCATGAACAACAGGATACAACTTAAATCTCACAGACTTTACAATGGAAGAAAAGAGGAAAACCTTTTTTTGCACATGTAAAGTGCACATACTACAAATTCAAAAATTCCTCATGTCTTGGATTTTGCAGTTTTTCAGTTTTGTCCTACTTCTCATTGCTGGCTGTGTTTGGTGTTTGCCCATCCTAACCCATTTTGCTTCTATGTTGATTTCCTGCATAATGTAGTTTCTACTTGAAACTCTTAACAGATGTCCTAGGATGCCCATACTCCTGTCCTCCACAGCTACATGAAGAAAATTGTTGCCTATCTGGCAAAACTCAAGCTAGCTTTGTTTTTGTGTATATACAAGTTAATACAGTAATCACATGAACTTTATCACATAAAAATAATATTGCCAATGGAAGATCAGATAATGCTGTGTTTAAAGAAGCAAACTGGAATGTGGCAGATTCTAGCATTTTGGGGCAGCCACACAATCACTCTCTGCTTGATTGTCTGTGTCTAAGCAAAGATTGTGCTTATTCTGTCTTATCTTTTGTCCGTTTCCTCTGGTTTGGACTGAGAGCCCTTTGCAGTATTGTTTTAAAGACAATAGACACCCTCACAGTTGAGGACTGAAGATTTTTGAAGAGCACAAATATCACACTTGAAAAATCAAAAAATTTCCTGCTTTTAGACAGATGCCTTCATTTTAGCTCCTCAGAAGAAGGGTGGAAAGGCCCTGTGGCTACATCAGAACTGCCTGCAAACTCGGAACTTCTGGGACAGCATGTGCAAGTTCAAGCAATTCTTACTTCAAACTGCAGTTTAACAGAGTGCACCTGCCTCCAAAGCAGCTCTGTGATATTCAGCCTGAACAGATTGCTGTCGGCGAGCAGATTCAATTCTCACCTTCCAAGGAATTATACAACTATGAATTCCAACTGCAAGCACACACTGAATCCCACATGGATGAATGCCAGTGGCTCATTGCTGAGGACCTGTGTTAAGCCAACCTGCCTGGCCTCACACCCCTCTGCAGAGTGCTACCCCTGGCTTGCCACCACTCTGCTCCCTGATGCGCCACAAATTGTGTCCTCTCCAGCAGTGAAATCACCTTTAAATTTCATGCAGAGCAAGTGTAATAACTTGGACGGGGGGCCTTTGAAGTGGTTTGCTTGGTGGTGTTTATACCCATGTGGCAGTACAGCTGAAGTGCTGCAAATTTGCAGGCTCGAACTGGTGTCAGACATTGTCTGTGTGGAATTCACATGTTGCAAATATATTTACCCATAACATCATTGCAACAAAGCAAAACTTACCTCTGTTTTCCCTTTACTTTGACAGGACCTCCTGGTGTCTTCATCTGAACCCCATGCTGTTGCCTGAAAAAGCAAAATGCATGTCACACAAGAATGCCACCAACCACCATGTCTGGAGACTCCCAAAACAAAGGCAAGCATCTCCAGCCAATTTACGCAGCCCAATTTAAAAGCAGCATTGTGACAGTAAACATGTATCTAACTCCCACTGTGCTCATAGTGCACACAAATGATAAATAGATGAGAAGTTCAGAGGCAGTGGCAACTGGAATGTTCACAGAGAACAGACTTTAATTTACATGTAAATATAACTTCTGATCATCATTCAGCTGGAAGGTCCAGGACATAAGCCCCACACACGAAGTCATCACATTCTTTTTAAAGAGGCTAGTGCTGTATAAGCCCCAGCTTTCATTGCCAAAAAGAAAAATTCCCTACAGCAAAGTCCAGCAGTTCTGCACAAATCTGTTGGTCTTCTTAAATTTACCCCCAAGATAATCACCTTCTAAGTAACCCTGCAGTGAATCAAGCTGGATCAAGACTGGGAGCTGACAGGTGAAACCCACAGAGATGGGAAGAGGGGAGAAAGGCTGATGGTGATTTGTGATGCCAGACAAGTGGGGTCAGGTCCTGAGGTAGAGTAAAACACATTAGGGCTGAGGGCACTATTGACTGGAGGCCAAGAGCATGTGGGGTACCCTGGTCACCTCTGACTGCTTCAGAATGAAGAGGCCTCTTCCTCCACAAGAAAATTCAAGACCAGAAAAGCTTCATTAAAGAGAACTTTCAGATTTAAAATATTTAGCAATGTATCCAACTATTCAGTGCCCTCCCCTATTTTCCTCCCTTCAGCACTTTTTAAAAATAGTCCTAACAAATTCAAGCAGGTATTGTTAGCTGGAGGTGAAAATACATATAAATATCCATACTATACATAATACATCATTCTGTGTACCAGAAAAACAGCTCTGTTACATAGGGAAAGGCCAGGCTTACAAAGTTCAGATAAAGATCCAAAGCTCCCTTAACAGAGCCAGGTTTTCTTTATTTTTATTTTCCTCAGTCCATTACAACAAAGGAAATAGCTTCAAAGTTTGGTCTGGATCTGAACTCTTCTTGAACTTCTCACTGCAGCCAATATGCTTTTTTAAACCCTAGGCTGTCACAGAAATTGTCCTCTTGACACATGATAAATCCAGTTTTTTGCAGGAGAAAGTTGGGAAACCATTAAAAAGAGAGGATGAATTTTCCCACTCCCAGCTCAGGTCCATGAAGACACTCATTCAGAATGACAAGAAATGCAACCAGCCAGGAAATGCATTTATATACAATATTTGGGGAAGGGGTATTTCTATCTCTTTCAAAAGGAAAAAAAAACCCAAAACAACAAAAAAACAAAAACCAAAAAACCATCTCTCCATTAGCTGAGCATTCCATTCAATTTGACTTGAAATAAAGACTTCATGAACACAAGGAAAGATCTGGTGAGAGAAGAGAAGAGCACAGGTATTTTCCTGGAAGCCACTTGGGAAATACCTCCCACATATACTGCAGTCCAGTCCAGGGTGGAGGCCAAAAGCTTGTGCCTCAGAAGTGTTTTTGTGAGAGCTGGGATAAGTCCTTGCTGAAAAGGATCATTCAGTCATATCCTGAGAGGGAATGTCACTGGATGACAGAGCTCACACTGTAAGCCATCACAGGAGAGCAAGGAATTTTTCCTGCTGACTACCAGGAGCCGTTGAGATCGGCAACGCAACTGCACAGTAGGATTTTGATCTGTAATCCCAGCTCAAGCCCATCCTCATTAAAACACGGTGTCTTTGTACCTTCAGTCAAGTTTTGACAATTTTAATAAAAAAAAAGATATTCAGAAAAAAGATAACTTATTGTGTGTGAGCCCTTCCCATTTTAAAACGAGAGACAGCGAACTTTCCATTATACAGCCCAGTTTACCTTAACAGTCCTTGACAGGAGAAAATGAAAACAAAAATTGTTGGTTGCTCCAGCAATTGAAGCTGCTTCTCTGCAAATACTCTGGGTCACCTGGGATTGCAGCAGTGCAACACAGAAGAATTTGGCCTCCCAGGAGTCACCCAGCTCTTCCTGCCAGACACCTGCACCATAGAACTTCGAGGCATGTTGCAAACATAGCTCTAGTCAGAGCACTGCTCTCCTCCAGCTATGTTCTAATGTGCCTAAATGTTTTCTTCTATTAGGCACATTGCCCTTCAGCCTTCTGAAGCACTACCTTGATGAGCAGTGATAAAGAACTATCCATTTGGTGATGGCCCAAATTCTAGCAACATGTTGTTTATGACTACACCATTAGTCAGGGTGCACTTCATTAGAGCTAAGAGGATAATGAAGCAATATGGCAATCCAGAGCATGTTTTACAAGTCCCACACATGCCTTTGGCAGGACAGGGAGGAGCTAGCTTGAGGGCTGACTAACTCCAGTGACCTCTGGTGACTCAAAGAAAATATTCATGACCCTGCAAAGCAGAACATCTTGACAATAATAAAAGTATAATTGCAAATCAAAGCAGCTAATGTGCACTTAAATATTTGTACTGCAAGGTCTGCTGACCTACCAGGCCTTTTGCTGGACTCCCAGGAGCCCGCACACATCTGTGGCCATGGCCTGTGGCTTGGACCTGGCTAGGCTCAGACCTCTGAGCCTGGGGCTTTCACATGAGCTCTCCAGCACTGTTTGGTTTCTTCACTTGACTGATCAGCTGTCTTTTCAGGTCAAAATGTCCCACCCTTGTCACCTTTGTTGCCTTGGGCTACTCTGTGCAAACTCCCTGTGGGATGCTGGTATTCTGTGTCCTCCCACTGGTGTCTCCAACCCAAGCCCCTCTTCCACAGATGAACACATATTCTTCCTCTGCCTTAGATTCATTTTTCCCCAGGATCAAACTAGTGGACATTTGACAGAGCAACTTTCAAAAAGATCTCTCTCTGGGGTGCATCTGTGTGTACCCATATATTTATCAGTGAGGCACAGACCTACTTAACACTTGCATAACACCACGGCACCGTAAGAGATGCTTTGTCTTCCTTAGCTGATCATAATGCTTCTCAAAAGCCATGTTCTTGAACAATGGTTTAGGTGCCCCCCCTTCTTTTCCTTATCTTCTTCAATAAACTATTTTTTTTCTTTTTCTTTTTTTCTTTTACTGCTTTAACTGCCTCTGCAAACTTGGATGAGGGACAAACTGTATCCACCAGATGTTTTTGGTCACTCTGTTGGGATATCATCCTGAATTTATGATTAATTTTCTCAAGTGTCTGAGACATTTCAGTTTCCCAGCCCCAGAAAACACATCTGGGATTATTTTTATACCTCCTGCTACATGTGTCAGTCAAAAGCAGTACACATCTCTGGACCCATATGCAATAAAACAATTTTCATGGCATGGTGTCCTGGTTTAGGACACATGGGTTGCAGAAGACAGTCTGGATGAAGACGTGACAAACCGGGGAGCAGGGCTATATCCAAATACAGGACACTATGTAGTAGGCATGAACTTAAGCAACCAAGCAAAAAGCTTTTTAGGCTGTCACAGGGTCAGCAATTCCTCCCATTACATCCTTATAGGGAGCAATCCAGCTTTTCATGCTACCTCCTTACAAATTCTCAAGTATTTCTTCCCTCATGCATTTCCAGAAGAAATGCAGTTTTCTAACAGTGTTTCCATCTATTAAGGACCTCCTCTATAACCACAGTGCCCATTTGCAGGATGGGGGTACCCAGATTCATGTGCCATGTGAAGGGAACTGCTCAGCTGCTGTGCAAGATGAGCCATGCAAACCATGGGCAGGACTGCCCAGCCACCTGTGCAGACAGACACCAAAGGATAAGCAACTTTGTCCCTGAACTGAAAATACAAATAAACATGCCTTCTTCCTTCAGCCTATTTGCAAGGACAGCTGGTCCTTCACATCTCTGTTTCCCAAGTTCTATGCAGGCAGATTTTCTCAATTATTAAAAATTAAAAAGATAAATGCACATTTGTGTATTATTTCTGCATTTTCAGAAGTCCCATGAAGGAGATAATCACAGTGAAGCATTCATGTGTGACATTGCCCAACTAGAAATTAACAGAAGGGGCGACAATAGCTAAGCCTATTCAGTATATCTTTATGTTCAGTGGTCATATCCAGACACAGAAAGAAAGAGTTAATATCTCTCCCAGTAAATTATAAGCATCACAGTTCTGACTGCAGATCAACAGTGCTCTAGAATTCTAGCTCATCATGTGCTGTCACATCAGTTATTCAGCACGCACTGCTGAGAGAGGCTTTCTAGATACATTTATTTAATTACCTGCACATCCCAGTGTTGGCTTCCAAAGTACCTGCCTGTCAGTAGCAAGTCCTGTTATCAATAGTTATGTGCATCCTCAGCTGATAATGTGAAAATTTCTTAGACTTCTATGGACCATCTTTTGTACTCAGGTCAGCAATTTATACTTCAACACCACAATATGAATTTACAGATTAAGCATACACTAATCCCTGCACTGTACTTACACAATAGAGGTTGCAGGTTTTCATGCAAAACCAAAACGTTGCTTTAAAACTGGAAAGGTAAGATCGGAGGAGAATAGGTTACATGCATATTTATTAATTAAACCCATTGTTAATTAGATCTATCTAAGGTGTTTTATTACGAATGTATCCATCTGTTACCAACCTCAGTCCCATGAAACAAGTGCTCCACGCAAACCACTTGCATGCCTGCAGACAGACCCACAACCATATTGTTTTGTCCTACTAGGGGAAAGATGTGTAATACCAGAATGCACATTGTATGTTATGTATAGTATGTATATTATTGTATATTATATTATGTTTGAAAGGAAACAAAAATCCCTCAAGTACAAGATTACTAGAAAAAAAAATAACAAACTCAACAAACAAAACCCCCACAAAACAAACAAGCAAACACCCCCCAAATCAGGTACTGATTCTGTGAGATACCAGTTTTTTCTAGAAGGTACTGTGTTCCTCAGGTTTCTGCTGCTGTCAGCAGATGCAGAAGCAAAAGCAGCACCTTG